ATTCATTCATTCAGTCATTCCATTTATCCCCTGCCTATCTGGTCATTTCGACCACTCTAGCCCAGTGGTGTTCAACCTTGGCCCTCCTTGGACTTCAACTCCCAGAAATCCTGGCAGCAGAGGTGGTGGTGAAGTCTTCTGGGAGCTGTAGTCTAAGAACAGCTGGAGGGCCAAGGTTAGACACCACTTCTAGCCCTTTCCATAGGACAGTAAAGCAGAGGATTCACATTCCATTGACTGTATAGTGGTACCTTGACTTATGAACATCTCCACTTGCAAACGATTTGAGTTAAGAATGGCTCCGTTCGCAAAAAGTCGCTTCAGCTTGCTAACGGAGCCTTGACTTACAAACAAACAAAAATGAAAAAACCCTTTCCTGCCCTTTTTTTGACCTAAGTTCATCTTAGGTCTAAAGAAAAAAAAATAAAAAAATTCACCCCCTAGTGGTAGAGTACGGATTAACCGGCTTTGCATTAGTTCCTATGGGAACTAATGCCTCTACCTACAAACAGCACCTCGACATACAAACGAAAAACAGCCTGAACTGATTAAATGGTTTTCAGTGCATTCCTATGGGAAATCTTGACTTGACTTACAAACTTTTCAATGTACGAACGCCGTTCCAATACGGATTAAGTTCGTAAGTCGAGGTACCACTCTACTTCTCTTTTTTTCAGGAGAAGCGGGAATGCTGGATCCATCCCAACCTTCCTCAACACATACAAAGATCCTTGAGGCCCATTCAGAGAACTTCATGGCTATATGCAGATCCTCCTTGATCCAGGGCCATCATGAGACTAGAGCAGTTGGCACAATCAACTTGTTGGAGTCCCTTGTTCAGGAGTCAGATCCCCCCACCCCCCACCATCCAATGCCTGTTCGATACTTCTGCTACCCAAAGTGCAACTAGAAACAGCCATAATGTGGTATTGACTGTCTCACAAGGACAGTGGAAAAGAGTTTGCTTTCTCCTCATGAGAAGAAGCTGGAATTGCAATGTTGGTAGCAGTAAATCTAAGAGAAAAGCTAAGAATATATTTCCTCCTGCCTTTTCAGTGCTGGAACCAGAACATACTGGGGTAAGAGAACAGACGGGACAAAGTGCATTGCCAGTAAGATATAGCTCCCTCCTATATTATTTGATTTCTATGTGATATACTGGCATAGTGGCATAATTCACATTAATGCTCTCTTAATTGTATTAGACTTGAAACAAGCCTTACTTAGTGTGTGACTACATGAGGATTTGTCCTGCTGTTTGGTCTGCTCTGGGGACAGGCTTGCTTTCCCGGTGATCATATGACATAATAGCCAGCATGAATGAGCCAATCCCCAGAGCATTCCTACCAGCACCTTTCTAGCTTCCTGTCAGCAGCTATGCATTTTTAGGTACAGGTATGATCACTCTGTCTTGGCTCAATTCCAGCATGTGTGATTGCTGGGATCAAACCAAAGTGCATGTCTTGCTGATTTCAATTTCTCATTCATTTTCAGTTTCCCAGTATTATTAAGTGGCTTCAGCAGAGAGCTTAGCCACTTAACAATATTGGAAATTAAAAATGTGCTCTGCTCCCTTTGTGTAAGAGGAGCAGAGGATGCAACTTTTATTATTTTTGTTTTTTTCCAAGGGCAGTGCTTTTGGAAAGGAAAAAAAAAAAGAAATCTTCCTTAAGACATTCATTCTGAAATGGAAAAGATCCTCAAATTTGAATTTGAAATGAAAACAGATACCATAATCTTGGCAATAACACCAGATAATTTGGGAAAATCTTCACAAGAACTTTTCAATTACATGTTGATAGCAGCTAGGGTAGCAATGGCAACAAAGTGGAAAATGGAGACATGGCCAACAAAAGAAGATTGGAGAGATAAAATACTTGAATATGTCACAATGGCAAAACTCACAAATTATGTAAACAGAAGGTCAATTAGAGAAATTGAAAAAAGTGGGAAAACTATTTTGACTATTATAATTAATTAGAAGGGGTATAGAACCAACTTTGCCAAAAAAAACTATGTAAAACTAGTAGAGTTCACATTCTAAAAACATGGCACTGATTAGAATAATATGTGTACTGTAGTATAGATGTTAAAATAGAGGGCTATATAAACTATGTAAATGGCCTGTTCGTTGTCCCTGATATATATGAAATGTACAATTTTTTCTTTTTCTGTAGTTTTCCTTTAGTACTTCTACATATTTCAAAATTAATTTTAAAAAAAGAAAGAAAGCTTCCTCCTGGAAGGAGGAGAAAACAGGAGGGGGTAAGGAAGTGGATTTTTTCTGTTGTTTACATTTTCTTTTTTTCCTTCCCTTTAAAGGAAGGCAGGCCATATAGGGCCACTTGAGGTATGAATGGCATGTGGATGCAAGAATCACATCAAATGGCATGCGGTGGATTTGTTCTGTTGTTTACATTTTCTTTCTTTTTTTTCTTTCCCTTTAAAGGAAGGCAGGCCATATCGGGCCACTTGAGGTATGAATGCCATGTGGGTGCAAGAATCACATCAAATGGCATGCCATACCTTTACATGACCTTAAGTGATCCTATTTATCCTGATTCAGCCTCTTCCAATTTAGCTGTCTAGCCAACCCCTTAGTTTGATAGAGTTAACTTTCAAACCAACAACCTTTGGTCACAGACTTATTCCAGTTTTCACTTTATGATTTGCTATCACAGATGGGGATATTCGTATCATATACAAATATGAATACCCCTGTCTTAGCTGGCCCTAATGAGGGTGTGGCCCCCAGGACAGGACTGTCCATCCATGTATCCTGCCGTGGTGCCAGTCCCATTGGTACCGCCAATGGCACCTGGAGCTTCCTTCTCTTCCTGCTCGGATGGCCACTTAGCAGCCATGTGGGAAGACTTGTTCTCCCACCCTCTGCCTGGAGTGGCCAGCTGAGCAGGAAGAGAGTGGAACTCCGGGTGCCATTGGCAATGTGAGCGAGACCTACACCATGGCAGGATGCATGAGTGGACAGTCCGATAATGGGGGGCCGGACCCTAATTAGGGCCAGTTGTGATGGGGGTATTTGTATATGAATACAAATATCTCCATCTCTATTTGTTATAATTCAAATACGAACAGTCCCTTTCCGACAAGTATCACCTAAATCCAATTGTTAGTCCAAGCAGAGTGGGACTTTCATAAAGTATTGACTTACATTCCATTCTGCCAATGGTTCTGTTGTAGAAGGGATGAACAATTAGACTGAGTTCCAGAAGTCCAGCAGTATCAAGGGGCAGATCTCTATTTCTGAGAGTGTTTTTCTCATTCTGAGACCTTAATATATCCCCTGCATTTCCCCTTCCCCTCTTGGTTCCCTATTCCCTCCTGGAAGAACAGCACACATCTCAAATTTTAGAGCAAATGGCGAAAACACAGAAAGCAATAGCTAAAAAGCTTGTTTTACATACCAAGTACTTAACACAAGACAGTGATTGTTCAGATCCACTGGTTTTATCCTGTAGGCTTTAAAACTTAAAATGCTCTTTGATGTCAAGACATTGTGACTTATACTATGTACCCCAGACAACCAGTAACCTTGGTAATAAGGAGGACCTCAAAAGGAGCAAGCTCTTTAGTCCTGTGAAAGTGGACCCCAGAGATGGGAAGGAGGTTCATAGGCATGGTAAGCAGGCTGTGCATGATGGAGAGAGAGCAGGAAGCACTGCTTGGAAGACAAATTTCAAGCAGTAATGAAGATTGCTTTGGATGAGTGGGGTCTGGCACAGGAAATGCACAGGCAAGTAAAACACCATCCAAGATAAGTAACATGGAGGACAAGAATAATCTTGTATAGGTCTTTCAAGACCTTGGATAAATTATAGGAGAAATGTACAAGCACTGATCTAGTCATTTCTTCTTGATTGCTAGAAACAGAACCTCCATTTTAAGAGACTGTACCCTTCTGAATTTTATGAGATTAATACCTCTTCCAGCTCTGCAATTCTAAGATTATATTCATCTGAGCAATTTCTGTATGTTTTTTTCCTTGCTGACTGACTTTTATGAGATTAATAAGTTCCAACACACCATGAAGGGGAGAATCTGGTATACTTTCTAAGAGGTAGACATGTAGCTCATTGTATGTCAACCTCAGAGAAAAATAAAAAAGGTGAGAGAATACCATCCCTCCTAGAAAACAAAGAAGGTCATGATGGAGGTATGATAGTACTTTTCAAATACTTGGAAAGCTGTCATACAGAGGAGGAGCAGGGTCTGTTCTCGATCATACCAGAGTGTAGGATATACAACAATGGGCTAAAGTTACAGGAAGCTAGATTCCAGGTGAAATCTGTTAGGAGCAGTATGGCAACAGAACCAATTGCCTCAAGAAGTGGTGAATGCTCCAACACTGGAGGCATTTAAGAGAAATGTTGACAACCACCTAGCAGATAGCCTTTGATTTGTATTCCTGCACTGAGCAGGGGGTTGGACTCAGTGACTTTATGGGCCCCTTCCATCTTCACTATTCTATGATTCAATGGTTCTATTATCACCACTTGACTAGTAGTGTCAGCTGGATCTTGTCCAGCCAGCAAGAGAGGCACACCATCAGCCTGGAAATAACTGACAGATTCTTGTGCTTCTATTTCATTATCTTCCCCTGGGAATGACACAAAAATGCCTTGTGTGGAGTGAGGTTTATTCCAGAGAGGAGACTGATACGCCATGGACTACTACCAAGGATCCTGGAGAAATTACATCTTCTTGCTTGAAGGGCTTAGTTTGATGAGTCAGCTATCTCAAAGAACTAAGGAATAGTTGAGAAATGTTTTAACTTGGGCTGCACACAGACATAATCTGAATCGTTCATTTTTAAACAAATAGGCCTGATTTGGACCAATTTGTCTGAGGGCTTAATCAAAGAACAATGGCCAGATTTGGCTCCAGGGCAAGGTGAAAGAGCAATGCTTCAGATTGATCAGGTGATGGATAGGAAGGTGATCTCACTTTGCTTATTGACAATTCCAATTTCGAGTCTGAGACAAATATCTCATCACACTCTTCAATCACAGTGCTTGGGGAAAGGAATCGTGTGAAGTAACTGAAGTTATATATTCAATTATCTCATAGACTCTGTGTTTTACCAGGTTCAGCAACATTATTAGAAATCTGAGTGAAAGACCTCTAAGAACATAACTGTGCTGCATGTACAATAGTCTAATATTAGGCATCTGGCTGAGGAGCCAAAAGTTGGGAGTTCAGTTCCCCACTGTGCCTCCTTGATAACAGGAGCTGGACTCAGTGATTTACAGGGCCTCTTCCAGCTCTGCAATTCTACGATTATATTAATCTGAGCAATTTCTGTACCTTTTTTTCCTTGCTGATTCCATTAGCTATTTGCCTAATCTTCTCTTTGCCTTTTTGATTTGCTTATTTTAGAGGTAAATTTTGCCTACTTTGTGCATATCTATGTATTTTGGCTAGTGATACTTATTTTATCCCTTACCCCATTAGCTCTAGTTGTCTTATTTGTTTTCTCCTAGTTTGCTTAAAAAAAGAGAACTCTCTGTTTCTCTCACTTGTATGCATATGTATATGTGCTCAGATGTGCATTCACCTGAATTCTACCAGGAAATATAGTAAATTATGCACAGAGAACATACATTATTATTATAGTGCACATCTCATTCACACTGTGAATATGAATTACAACAAACACTTTTATTTTTCACTTTCATTTCCCACTTCATCCTTTTTTGTGTTAGCAAAAACCTACACTAGACCTCTGAGTTGTGGTGGCTCCTTTTACGATCACACTTTTACAGCTGCTCCAGTGTTACCTAGTGCGCCGTCCAAAACTCACTTGTACAACCTCTGTGACCAGCACACTAACGGCAGGAAGTTATAACAGAATAAACAGATGACAGAAGTAACAGATTGGAAGAGAAGGAGCAAGGAAGATAATGCAGGACAGATGGAGAAATTGATAAGTTAGCAGAAGGGGATGGAAAAAGCAAGCAAGACAGTGAAAGAGGGATGGGCAAAGAAAGAGACAACAACAGGATTCAGAAATAGAAAGCAGGAAAGGGGCAAGGAGAGCAGGTAGAACAGAAACTTAAGAATTCACCAGGCATCAAACCTTTATGTACTTTTCATATCAACACCAATAGTAAAGTCAGGTTCCACTTATAACAGCTCACTTTATGGCCATCACTAGGAAGCCAATTAAGTTGTTAGTGCAGGATATCTCTACACTGTTTCAACTTACATTATTTACCAGTTCAGTTCAACATTTACTAATACAGTACATTACCACTGTGTCTCACCATGAGACATCTTTATAACTGACTATGAGACTTCTCTATAGCTGAGAAATACAAACGCTATTGCTACGTCAGATGGAAGCAGGCTGGCTTTCCTCCATCCTGTCCTCAATGCTTGGTGGGGTTAGTTAAGCCTAAAGAAGCAAGCAGCTTCCAGGACAGCAGTCGGTCAGTCTGGGTTTCTACCAACAAAAGGAAGACAAGAGCATCCTCTGGGACTACTCTGAGGTGGGGAAGATCCCAGGACTAATAACCGCCTGTTAACCGCCCTTTTTTCCAGTTGACTGCTTCCTTATTTCTGCCTTCAAAAGTTCACACTTACCCTTAGTGCTGGAGGGAGTTAGGGTGGCATTGCAAGAATTTATGAAGTCTTTCAAATTCACTGTCCCATCCTCTGGAAGGTAAAAAAGTAAAAAAGAAAAAGAGAAAGAAATTAGATGAGAGAGGCCAGAGCACTTGAAGCCCTAAAGCATAACCATAGGAGAACAGCACAAGCCAGAATGACATACTTTGAGACAGGGAACAAAGGTTACAAGGGATCCCCAGTAAAGAATTTCATTACAGTATTATTCACAAACCTAATGATCAATTGCATTTTCATCCCACCAACAGTAGCCTTGAGACACACAATAAAGCAATAAAAAGACATCTTAAAACAGAGTTTTTAAAAGCTGAAATGAAAACTTATCTGCCATTTAAACTAATTTCAAATAAGCATTCAAACTATTTTCAGGCAGCACCGGTTTGAAACAAAGGTAGGTAATATGCCCTCCACTCAGCTAAAGACTGATGAGCCACTTTCTTAATATTTGTTTATACCTAAATGTTTTTATCAATGTGTAGCAGGTAGGACAGACAGCCTAACAATCCAGATGAGAGAGGCCTTTTAAAAATGAAGTCAGCACAGGCCGGAGTATGTTTGGTCATGCTATTCTTCTGCCCTGGCAGAAACTATGCAGTAAATGCCACCTACTGTAAGTTTCCCATTCACTGTTGACATATTTCCTGAAATAACAATAATTCTATTAAAGCAGGGGTGAGCCTTGAGAAAGACTTGACTTGAAACTTCAACATCCTATTCAAAATGTTTGACAGATGTACCAGAAATACCAACTAGGCTGTGGCTGAAAGATAGAAATCAATGTACAAATGTGACATTTTAGAGGGGCAGGTAATCCAAGATAAATGAAAAAGATAATACTATGGACGACACTCACCATTATACTTTGTTAACTTCAGTGCATCCTGCAGCTCCTCTTGAGTTAAATAGATCCCCATGCCACTCAGGAGAGATTCCAAATTCTTAATATCTATTTGTTTGTCTTTAATAAAAGACAATAATGCCGGGTAAGTGTGATTCGAGCACAAATATATACTTGTTGCATTAAATGTACATAAATAATCTCATCAGCTGCTTCATTTTGCCCCACAAGAATAATTATTTCCCATTTTATAAATGACAAATGCTAAGTCTGATTACAAAATGTTGAAGTTCCTTCAATGAGCCTATAGTTAGGTAAGACTCAGGAGTCTGACTCTCCTCCCTCCCTATTTCCGCCATGAATAGAAAAACTTACCCTGAATACTGGAGAGGCCCTGTACGGCCCACATGAAATCTTTTAGATTCACAGTCCCATCCTCTGTAAGACAAAAAAAGAGAATGGCAGAGATGGCCATAAGAGATTCTTACATCCTACTGAATTCCCACATCTCTCAAAAATCTATCTACCACACCAAACCCTAAGAAGAAATTTATCTCACTGTTGCCAGTTCATTTCAAGACGATGGCATTCATTTCCCTTATCCAGATGAAATCTTTTCTACTCAGTTCAACAGCGGACTAGTTCAATAACTCAGGAAGTTCAATAACTCAGGAAGTATAAACAAGTATTAAGAAATCATCACCACTTGATGATTACCCCGCTCCATGATGAATCCGCTTTACGATGAGGTTTTTGCGATCGCTTCGGGAACTAATTCTTCGCCAAACAATGATTTTAAAACAGCTGATCGGCGGCTCTCAAAATGGCTCCCCACTGTGTTTAGGACGGATTCCTCACTTAACAGGCACCGGAAAATGGCTGCCCTATGGAGGATCTTCGCTGCACTATGAGGTATTTCGCCCATTGGAACACATTGAACCGGTTTTCAATGCATTTCAATGGTTTTTTTTTTACATTCGCTTGACAACAATTTCGTTCTACAGTGATTTTGCTGGAATGGATTATTGTCGTTAAGCGAGGCACCACTGTATTATTACCACTGTTCAACCTAGCAATCCAGAATAACTGGTGGGCAGAGTTGCTGTCCCCTACTATACTGATTGAGGGCACATTCAGACGGGGGGAAGTTGGAGTGGTCTGGTTCTCACCTAAAAGTTTCTTATTTTTAGTGTGATCTAGTTTATCTTTCATTCACACTGATCAATGTTTCTTCTTCTGTGAGAAAGGTCCAAGCAGATATTTGGATTACTCCAATTTGTCCCCCTTTCAATTAAAGACACTCCCCTTCCTGCCACCTTCCCCACTTTTCCCCACAACCATAATTCAATCAGCCAGAGTGACTTTCCTTATTTTGTTACATAAAGTAAGTGACATAGTGAAACAGCAATGCACCTCTGTCTCATTTATCTAGAATAGTGCTGCATCGATAGGAAAATATATTTTAAAAAATGTAAAATGGTAGAGTAGATGAAAAGAGGGGTGTTCTCCAACATTTCTCTCATCCCACCCAGGATGGCATAGACTTTCAGATCCTCATGGGAAAAAGCTCTGTTAAAAATAAGATACAGTATTTGAATCCAAACATGGACAAGGCAGTTTGTTTGTTGCTTGTTTATTTGTTTGCTTGCTTGTTTGCTTTGAGGGAGAGAACATTCCCTAATCAAGAATCAGCTGGAAATCATGCATCGTTGGCTCCAGCCACTGGATGGGCCTCGGACCTCGAACAGCGTAGCTGGCTTTTGCCCACCACCTGGGATATCACAAGACGGATTATTGCCTTGTTAATCACGAGTAGGAGGGGAAAGCCAGCTACTTAAGGAGCTTTCCCCTCTAGGATCACCCTCTTCTTTCTGGACACCCCAGTGAGAAGGGGTGTAGTTGAAAGGAGCATGGCTGCATTTTCGGTGGGCCGCCCAGGAGCACAATGGTTCTTACAAAACTCTGGAGACTACGATTTCAAGGCCACGGAGGTCTGCCTTTTGCTGTCGGGCGCTTGAGCTTTAGGACGGGAGGGCAGCACTGGCTTTCTCCAGCAGCTGAGTTTACAAATCTCTTCTTTATCATTGTTTCTGGTTTATTATAATCTGTTTAGTTATTTGTGCTATTTGGTTCGGATTGTGCAGTCCTGGTGTTTGGAGTCCCTATTTTGTAAGGGAAAGCGGCGACGTAGCTTTCGTGCCGCTGTATTCGGGCGCAAGGGTATTCCAGTGAAAACTAAAACAAACCGGAGTTCCAGCTTGGCGGTTATATGACTGCGGTTGTGGTTTGGAACACAGATTTAGCAGCTAAACTACCAGTAGCGTTATAAAGGAGTGGTGGTAAGGCAGGGGACTAAAAGGAGGGGGTTTAGGATGCGATTCTGGTTTTACGTGGCTCTGTTTGCTTGGTCGGTGGCTTTGTTCTCGGCCCATATTTGAATTTCCCGCCAAGTTTTACACACACACCCTTTTGTTTCTGCCTCAGCTTTGTTTCGCCGACACTTTAATTTTGCTTGGCTTTCTTTGGCCAGCATTCTAACTTTATCCATCTGTTACTACTGCTACTGGTTAATGTTCATAGATATATTTTTTAAATAACTTTCATAATTTTTAAATATAAATATAGATAGATAGATTGATTGATCGATCGATAGATAGATCGATATAATTTAATATATAAAATTTAAATACATTCAAATATAGGTAATTGAAATAAATAAATTGGTAAACAATACTAATAATAGAATAGATAATAAATTGATTATCACACAATAAGATAGCAGCATTTATTGATATAAAGATTACTATTGTGGGATTAATTGGGCAACTTAATTGGTCAATTAATTTATTAGCTCAATTAATTTATTAGCTCAATTAATTTATTTGAAATTGCTATTGGGTTGTTTGGATAAGCAAACCTTTATTAAATGAATAATTAATCCATAGATTGGCATGCATTCAGTTGGATGTTTAATATTTTTGATTCAGTTAATAAGCTTGGAGCATTTACAATTGGCACTGAAGGAGCTGTATACAGTGGGTTTTCAATTCATTACAATAATATAATATAATATATGACAACCACAGTCATATAATAATAATATATATAAAATATATACTCCCTGGGAAAAGCCTGAAGGTGCCAATCGCGGTGGAAGGGGACCCCCAGGAGGTCTCCGATGGCGGCTGGGAAGCCCTGGGAGACCTCTTGGGGGTCCCCCGCTACTGTGATCAGAGGCAGCAGTCACCCAGCGTCAGGAGGCTTGAGCTGGCTGGGTGCTTGGTCGCTTGACCCCAGCCGTGGGGCCACTTCAGGACCCACATCCCTCAATTAAAGAGGGCTTGCGGTCTGGGGGTGTTGATTAGTGGCCATCTGGGTTCCTGCTGTCCTTAAGATCGCTGGAACCTGGGGCCGGGGATTCACCCTTTCATTAATCCCGCCATTTAATTGTTTCCGCACTACAGCAGGCCCCCTTCTTTTTGAAAAAGAATGCTAGAAATTTGGATCTGATTGTATATTAATAAAGTGTGGCCCCGTATTTAACCCATATCACTGTCTCACATCTGTTTTGTGGGGGGGGCAATACATCATGCAAAAGGCAGGACTGGAGGAATCCCCAGCCGGAATTAAGACTGCCAGAAGAAATATCAACAACCTCAGATATGTAGATGATACCACAGAAAGATGGCAGAAAGTGAGGAGGAATTAAATAACCTCTTAATGAGAGTGAAAGAGGAGAGTGCAAAAAATGGTCTGAAGCTCAGCATCAAAAAAAAAAAAAAAAAAACAAGATCATGGCCACTGATCCCATCACCTCCTGGCACATAAAAGGGGATGACATGGAGGCAGTGACAGACTTTACTTTCTTGGGCTCCATGATCACTGCAGATGGTGACAGCCACCACGAAATTAAAAGGCGCCTGCTTCTTGGGAGGAAAGCAATGACAAGCCTAGACAGCATCCTCTTACATCTGTTCTTATACAATTCTTCCAAAGAGGGGAGTGAACAGCCAATGATGTTTTGGGCCGTCTTAATCACCCTTTGAATTGCCTTTTTCTCTGCCACTGTGCAGCTCGTGAACCATACACAGAGACAGTAGGATAATATGCTCTCAATCGAACTCCGATAGAAGGTGATTAACAAACTCTCAGTCAATTGTTGCTTTCTAAGAACCCTTAGAAAATACAACCGTTGTTGTGCCTTCCTGATTAACGCAGCGGTGTTTGCACTCCAAGTCAGGTCATTTGTTATGATAGTCCCAAGAAACTTACATTCAACCACCTGTTCCACATAGAAAATGGGAAGGAAAACAGGTGGCAATGTCAATTGCAGGAGCAAAATTAAAAGTTGTTTGCTTTTAGCTAAGATCAGTCCAAGTCAAAAGCAAAACGAGTCTCAGCACTCCCTCCTCCTCCACCTCTCTCTCCTTCTCCCTCTCTCTCAGGCCTGTTTGTGCAAATTGCAAGCAAGCAAGCAAGCAAGGGGGAAGTGGGGGCTGGCTGGATGGCATGAAAGAGGAGAAAAAGTTTTCAGCAGCTGCTCATTGCCAGGCACTGCCGCTGTCATCATTTCTCTGAAAAGTCATTTCCCTTTTTTTACTTCTCTCTAAGCAACTGGGCACAACATCAGCTCACAGCCAGCAGGTAGAAATGGGGACATGAGGCAGAAATAGAGGTATCCTTTCCTTAACAAGAAAAAGCAGTGTTTATCATTGGCAATTCCTGCATCTCCCCCTCCCTTTTCAATGCCACAATCCACTACATATGTCACACGGTTGACACCTCTGTTAACACCGCCCACAACTCTGTCTGAGTGGAACTAACCATCTGCATGGGCCATAGAAGAGGATAATTCAGAGCACTCCCTGTAGACAAAGCACTGTATCAAAAAGGAGTAGGACAGCTCTAAAAAGGGGTGGGATAAATTGTTCTAAGTCAAAATTTGTGTGGACACCATAATTTGATTCGAACCAAACAAAACCAAAGCAAATCATATAGTGAGCCTTGTGGCACAGTGATTAAACTGCTGTACTGCAGCCAAACTCTGCACACAACCCAGGGTTCAGTCCCAAGTAGCCATCTTGAGCTTCACTTAGCTTTCCATCGTTCCGAAGTCGGTAAAATGAATACCCAGCTTGCTGGGGGTGGGGCGGGGCAGGGCGGGGGGCAATGTGTAGCCTGCATAATTAACTTGTAAATGATCCAGAGAGTGCTTTAAGCACTGTGGGGGTTGGAACATAAGCAGCATGCTTTTTGCTTTATATGCTTGTCTGGATGTGACCTGAGAAACATAATAAAGGCATCTGGGCATTTCATATTCAAAAGGACAGATTTTTCTCCAACAACAATAAGACTCAAATTACAGCTGCTTCCAGATGAGGTTTTCCTCATACAACTGCTAGACCAGCTCTACTGTTTGGTACAGTGCAGTAGCTGCCTCAAGTAGCAGATCTGGGGTGTTACAAAAGGGCACAAAATTGTTAGTTACTTGTTATTGTTGTATGCTTGCTGACAGAGATAGGGAGAAAGTCTCACGGGATGTCTTGTCTTGTGTCCAAAAATAGTTTGGTTGGCCTTGGGTAATATACTCACGTTTGGATGTGTGGGAGGCAGTATATGATAGTCCATCTCAGGCTGCAAAATGTCTTGGACCAGCCTGTAGAATTTTATTCTACATGACAGAATTTTCCATTAGTAACTGCTCCATGTTTTCCCACTGCTTCTATCCCTTTCTTTTCTATTCACCACAACAGAATAACTGTACAATATCATTCATTTGGAAGCCATCTATCGGGAAGCATCCTGTGCATTAAGCAGAATTTAGAAATTATTTCTCATAGCCTCGCAGGCTGTTTTGGAATAGAAACAGGGCAGATGGTGAGTGGCTGATTACAGATTTTTAAAAAAGCTGAACGGTAGTCTGTTTAAATTGTTTTTCGACTGTAGGAAAAAGATACGAGGCCATTATGGAGATACCCCCCCTTTTTTTTAGTAAAAGCCAGCCTGGAAAAGGTAATTTTGATTTGAAAATGACCAAAGTTAGTCAGCTTCTTTCCCCAGATCCTTGCACCATTCATACCTGTAGGCTACTTAGGTTCCCTTTGGTTAAAAAGAACAATGCCATCAACATATACACACACACAGAGAAAGTACTATACTGTAATTTTTCATCGAATGTGGAGTTTGTACCTAAGTGTGAGCAACTAGTGGCAAATAAAGCATTCCAGGAACCTGATTGCAGTGGAAAAAACTTCCATCAGAAATTAGAGGGCACCCCCTTTCCTAGCGATCTTTAGAAGATTATTGAAGGCAGAGCTGTTTAAGGAGGTCTTTGGCAATATCTTAGGCTAATTGGTGAGACCTGTATGTTATATTTATAACTATGGTTATTGATTATTTTTATTATAGTAGTGTATATTTTGTTTGTTATGTTTCATGCAGTTTGGTTTGATTTAATTTATCAGGTGTCAATCTTTGCCTTTTCTGTTTTAGTTTGTGGTGTTATGTTTTCTGATTTAAATATATATATATTTTTAGTCGGTTGCATGCTTTGCCTAATTAGGTAAACTCACTAAGTCTGGCAATCTATAAGCTAAACAAGCAAGCAAGCAAACAAGAAACAACAAACAAAGAATCCAACAACAAAAATGAGACTGCTGACACACACTCACTATTCAGTGTTGTTTTCCCGAGAGCCTCCTGCACCTCCTCTTGAGTTAAGTGAAGCCCCATGCAAGTCAAGATTGAGTCCAATTTGCTGACATCCACCTTCTTCCCTTGAAGAGAAAGTATGGAGGAAACAACAAGTAAGCATGGAGTATCAATTAATATTCATCAGTTTTATTGTTAATTCCAGGGTGTTCTCCCTTTGCTTTCCTGCCATATTGTTCTATGCTCATTTCAATACCTTTTCCACAGTGCCCCTCCTACTGCTTATCCCCCATCTCATTTCTGATTTCCTGAGAGTCTCACTACAAAGGGATGCCAGAGTCATATAATTGTGATGACATTAATTAGCACTTCACAAGGAAAGACAACAAGGGTAAATTTGAGACAAAGTTTAAATCTATATTCTGTGTCAGATCTGCTTTGATTTGGGTTCCTGCATTGGGCAGGGGTTTGGAGTTGATGGCCTTATCGGCCCCTTCCAACTCAATTATTCTATGATTCTATTATTTCAAGCTGTAAGACATCACCACAAGTTGATTTATCTGACCTCCAATATATTGGAAATATTTTAATATGTAGTATTTAATTTTTTGGATTTTTCCCCCCACCAAGGTCCACATTCTGTAGGCAAGCAGCATCCAGCCACACAAGTGAGAACAAGATCTCTGAGAGAAGCTCCATACTAGACATGGAGATGAATAAAAAAAGAATTGTGGTATTTGTCAGATACTGCTGATTTGTGCAATATTCATCACTTTGTATTCGTCAATTCTGAAGACCCTGACAAATGCGAAGTGACAATATTTGCTCTTTCCATTTGTCCCTTGTTGAGCCCATAAAGCAAGCTAGACTGCTGGGATGGCTGTTCTGGCAGCCTCTCTCTCTGCCTATGGGCCCGCTAAACAGCTGTTTGGCAAGCCTGGTCTCTCTGCCCCCATAGCCTGTCCCTGCCCCTTTCCCACTGCCCCTCATTGTCTCTCTACTCTGTCCTGCCACCCCTGCCCCTGCTGGTGGTGGAACAGAAGCTAGGTTGCTGGAATGGAAACCACCGTTCTGGCTGGCTAGCCTGCTCTCTCTGACTCTGCTCATGCCAATCAGCAGTTCAGCGTGCGCAGAGTCAGAGAGAGCAGCCTAGTCGGCCAGAACAACGATTTCCATTCCATAAGCCTAGCTTCCATTCTGGCAGTACCAGCAGCATGACAAGATAGGGAGGCAAAGGGGGGCAGAGGGAAGGGAGTGGGGGAGTAGGAAGGGGCGGGAGGGTCAGCTTTTTAATTTTTTTAGACAGCCACAGGCTGTCTTAAAAAACTGATTTGTGCTTTGTCAGAAATCCCATGGGAAATTCGTGTAGCCTGCATAATTAATTTGTAAACCAAAATTAGTGTAGCCTGCATAATTTGTAAACCGCCCAGAGAGTGCTTGAAGCGCTATGGGGTGGTATATAAGCAGCATGCTTTGCTTTTTTGCTTTGTGGGTCATTGGTTGTCAACCTTGATGACCCAGAAACCATGACAAAACACCTTTTGGTGGTTTGACTCCATCTCTACTGAGCAGATCTGTTGTGAATATGGAGCCAAGCAGCTTTACAGCAAAATGTGAAAGCTAACTGGCCATTTGTGTCACTTGACTTCCGGTTTCCGGGAATCTGCACTCCTACCCATTGGTAGAGGCACTACAGCACAGCAGAAATTTCCTCTGATGAAACAATATGCTGGCATAGGGAATGAGAAACGAACTATCACACTGAGCTCTGTTTTATCTATCCCTGCAATTCTTTAAAAAGAAAATCAGCAGTCTCTGAAATATGTAGTCAGGAAAGGAAGAAGGAGAGGCAGAGTAAGGAATATGAGTTTAATTATTTCCCTGTCAGCTGTTTTCCTTCTCAAAATAAAAGCTTTAGATTTCTTTTTCAAAAGAACAAATATAATGAATGACAGGCTGAAGCCATCCTTAACTGAGCAGTATTGAACAACACTATTATATATGTCTTTAGAGGACACTATTTCAAATTATATTTATTCTTTTAAGAGAAGAATGGGTTATACCTTTATTAGACCATTAACATTCACCACATAATCTAGCATTTAACCCTGTACAGGTCTTCATCAGGCTGGGCACCCCAGAAGTCCTTTGTTAAAAGCAAGTTTCAACATGGGGGCTACAGACTCAGGTTAGAGGTGTAGTTTCGTCCATTGCCATGAAGGGGATGCTGAATGGCTGTCAACCATTTGCCTTCACAAGATTGAGAGAGATTCTGATCCACACTGGAAGAGGTGAATTTTGAAACTCACACTCTTACCCCATTTTGAAATTTGCTTTTTGTTAAAGAGCTTTGCACATACATTTGGCCTGGATTTCTGAAATTTTTATGGTGCCCAGCCTGATGAAGACCTCTACAAAGTGAAAAGCTAGCTTATGTTTGTGATCTTTTAGTGGCTTAATAAAGGCATCATCTATCTTGGAATACCAGGACTAGACTGGCTTTCTTCTTTTTCTTTTTAAAAATATCATTAAAAAAATAAACAGATTTCCAAGCTCTGCTCAAAACCTTATACAGGTATGTTGCTTTTACAAGAGTAAAAATATAAAATGCCTGTATCTTACTCTGCTTTTGGAAAAAGAGCCTGGTGGAAGAAATGTTAAAATGAAAAGCAACTTGCATTCAAAATGTTAAATATTCATGCCATTCCACCTTTTCCAAGTGCCTGATTCCAGCATCTAGTGGTTTTGTTGAAAGGGAAAAAATATGTTTAGGGAAAGTCAGGTGGAACACTTTGCAAAGTGTTGACTGGACCAGAGGAATTAGATTCCCATTCCTGGACTTCAGGGTGAGGTCCTTAGCATTTAAACAACTGCTTGATTTATTTATTAACTGCAATGGCCCTCTACACAAAATAAAGGCTCAGACATTTTAATAACAGTTCTCAATACAACTGTACTATCCTCATCCATTTTCCAATATTATGGTTCAGCTCACCAGTTTTTTCACTTATCAAGACAGCACTTGCACCTCTCTTAAATGCTTCCAGATCCACTTTCCCATCAGCTACATGAAACAAACAGATCATGAGAAATACAAAGGCAGGTCAGAACTGGATTCAACTTGGGGGAGGGGTTAAATACACAGGCATTTGGCATGCTGTTTGATCCATTGTGGGGAAAGGCTGGTTTGCTCATTTTGCCAATAATCAGATGATGTATTGCTAGAGAAATACAGCCCATCCCCTGAGTGTTCTTACCCACACCTTTCTGGGTCCCTATTGGAGGTTACTCTTTTTTAGGTATGAGTAGGATCATTCTGTTTTGGTCTGTTTCCAGGATGTGCAGTCACTGAGATCATATCAAAGTAGAACTTGCTGTTGTAATTTCTGATGTGGCTTCAATTTCCCAATATCATTAGTGGCTTAAATGGATAGCTTAACCACTTAATATTATTGGAAAATTAGGAAAGTAAAAAACTTCCTTCCTCTTTTCCTCCATGGGCAGAGGGAGGAAGCAAGTTTTTTTTTTTTAAAAAAAAAGACAATTAGGGCACAACATACCTTTTAGAAAATCATTTTAAAAATTGAAGGCTTCCTCCAGGAATCAGGAGGAGACAAGAGGGGGCAAGGAGGGGGGGTTCCCCTTTCTTTTCCTTTTCTTAAGAGAGGTGGGCCAAGTAGGGTAGTTTGAGGTATGTGGATTCAGGGATTGCACCAAGTGGCACACCGGATCTCCACCCTATCTTAAGCAACCTTATTTACCATATTTTTCTGTGTATAAAATGGCACTTTCCCCTGAAATCATTAGAGGAAAAATTGAGGGTTGTTTTATACACAGGCGGAGGCAGAAGCGGAGGTAGAGGAGCAGCTGCGTTCGGCTGCTCTCATGGCTGCCCATTGACTGCTGCCTCGTATTTTTCCGTGTGTAAAATGATACTTTCCCCTAAAATCATTAAAAGAAAAAATGAGGGTGGTTTTATACACAGGTGGAGGTGGAAGCGGAGGTAGAGGAGCAGCTGTGCTCAGCTGCCTCTCATGGCTGCCCATTGACTGCTGCCTCCACTGTCTGATCACCTCCTCCAGTGCCACTGCCAGGGCTCACCCCTAGCTCACATCGCCGCCTTGTCCCCTGCCCCAAGGGAATCTGCGAGTAGCATTGGAGGAGGTGATCCAGCTGCAGAGGCACCAGCAGTAGGTGGAGGATCAGTCTAGGAGCACCTCAGAGCTGCCCATTGACTGCTCCTCCACCTCCAGCAAGGGTTAAAATTAGGGGGTTGTCTTATACATGGAAAAATATGGTAGTTTGCAACAGCCCACTCCAAATGGCTGTCTGGTTAAGCCCTTAAATGAATTTCAGTGCTGGGGCAAGGTGGTAAAATCCCCCAGAGGATATGTGATGGATTTGGGGGCCTTTATATTACAAGTTTTCCCAGAGATTGCTCTTCTGTTTTTGTACACTGTGATTTAATTACAAACAATATAGATTTTGAGGTACGCACAGATTATTTTCTTTTCTTGTAAGGCTGTCTGGTTCATTCTGACAGGTGTTTCTGTACAACTACGGCACAAATAGTCACAAGTTTTGTAAGAACCTAAGAATTCTCTCGCTGAAGCAGTGCAAGCCCCATGTGGCCAAACATTACACTTTGAACAATAGCTTTGAACAACAATATACAAACAAAGGAACCCACCATCCATTGGAGCATATTTCAATGCCTCATATAGCTGCTTGTTGGTTAAACAGATCCCCATTTCATCCAAGATCTCATCCAAGCAGTCAATATCAACCTTCTTCTCTGTAAGAGAGAGCAGTATTGCCCCAAAAACGATTCATTGAAAGGAGAAAGAAATATGCAACACTGTCTCAGGACTTCAAGATGAAGCCCCATCACCATTGTAGTACCTGGACATCCAGATACTGGACCATCACTAACTTAAAAGAGCTGACAGGAAGTAACAAAGGAAGGAAAGCTGCTGGCCTAAGAAGCATCAGGCAAGTGCAAGAGGCGCAAATAACAGACTTTGGATTATCTTGCTGCTCACCTTTGAAGACTCAAAGATTTGTGAGTTTGCCAAGGGAATGCGTGCAAGGACTCAACTCTTTGTAAGCATTTGATTGGGATGTTTGCAAAGCTCGCTCAGAAAACGACAACACCCTCTGCCACTTCTTCCCCAAGCCCCACAAATGTCATCCTGAGGAACCCCAGGGCAAGGTAGAGGGCCATGGAAGGCTCCAAAGAAACATACAGTAATCAATTTTTAGAAAACAAGTGTAATCCCTTTCATTGTCTTTTAGTAAAAGTAACTGTATTTTCTGTCATTCAGAAGGAACTATGCATAGTAATTTGTCTTTTTTCTTCTCAAAGTATATGAACACAAATGCATACAAGTCCACATGTGTGCCTTTGAAAAATGTGCACCAACATGCTTTAGTAAATGGACATAAACATGCATTAATTGAGAAGAATATATTTTAAAATGCAAATGTAGGAAAAATGTGCAGAAAATTCCTACAAATTTCCATGAAATGTACCAAGAAGCAGCAGGAATCCAAGGACTGATCATTCAGGTTTCTGGTGGCAAAAGATACCCTGTTAGGATATCACTGCCCTTTTCCTGGCCCAGCTTCAAAATATGTTTCTACTCACTGGGGAACAAAGAGTTCTCAGCTCTTACGACCAAGGCAAACAATATATTCCTCAAAGTAAGTATGAGCAGTTTTGGTTGCAGAGCATTCAAACGAAGGCCCTTGCTTTTGTGAGCACCCTTCATCCAATGTTTACAAGATAGCTGGGCAGAGTAGGTCAAGGCTGAAATGTTGTTCAGGCCAACAAAATGCTTATAGCCTTATTAGGTTAAAAGAAAGCAGTGTCCTGCCTCGCTGGGTAGAGTCACTCTGTGGCCTGGAAGTAGACTGGCTTGAGAACATCTCTCTCTCTACAGCTGTAAACCATGATTCACCCCAAAGGGCAGCAAAGTACAGGTTATTTCTGTCACTATATAAGGGATGGCTGCTTAAGAAGCATCTGGATGTTCCTTAAAGTGAAGATAAACACATCTCTTCTCAAAAGAGAAGAAAAACTTCTGGGAGGTGCTTCCTGATGAAGGATGCCTGGTGCTAGCAATCAAATGGCATTTCAGAAGTTTCTCCCAAGGACCGTTAAGCTGACTCTATCCCTCATTGGGGGCTTGGTTTCAAATGGCCTTTGTCAACAAAGAGAAGGGACATCTGACCATTTCTGACCTATGACAATCCTTTTCAGAGTTTCCCAGGTAGAGAACATTCACAAATGATTTACCATTCTCCGGGGGGTGGGAGCTAAGGGGAAGCACCTCACTGTTCTAGCTGCTAGAGGACCCTGTTTGTCAACAAAGAGAAGGGACATCTGACCATTTCTGACCTATGACAATCCTTTTCAGAGTTTCCCAGGTAGAGAACATTCACAAATGATTTACCATTCTCCGGGGGGTGGGAGCTAAGGGGAAGCACCTCACTGTTCTAGCTGCTAGAGGACCCTGTTTGTCAACAAAGAGAAGGGACATCTGACCATTTCTGACCTATGACAATCCTTTTCAGAGTTTCCCAGGTAGAGAACATTCACAAATGATTTACCATTCTCCGGGGGGTGGGAGCTAAGGGGAAGCACCTCACTGTTCTAGCTGCTAGAGGACCCTGTTTGTCAACAAAGAGAAGGGACATCTGACCATTTCTGACCTATGACAATCCTTTTCAGAGTTTCCCAGGTAGAGAACATTCACAAATGATTTACCATTCTCCGGGGGGTGGGAGCTAAGGGGAAGCACCTCACTGTTCTAGCTGCTAGAGGACCCTGTTTGTCAACAAAGAGAAGGGACATCTGACCATTTCTGACCTATGACAATCCTTTTCAGAGTTTCCCAGGTAGAGAACATTCACAAATGATTTACCATTCTCCGGGGGGTGGGAGCTAAGGGGAAGCACCTCACTGTTCTAGCTGCTAGAGGACCCTGTTTGTCAACAAAGAGAAGGGACATCTGACCATTTCTGACCTATGACAATCCTTTTCAGAGTTTCCCAGGTAGAGAACATTCACAAATGATTTACCATTCTCCGGGGGGTGGGAGCTAAGGGGAAGCACCTCACTGTTCTAGCTGCTAGAGGACCCTGTTTGTCAACAAAGAGAAGGGACATCTGACCATTTCTGACCTATGACAATCCTTTTCAGAGTTTCCCAGGTAGAGAACATTCACAAATGATTTACCATTCTCCGGGGGGTGGGAGCTAAGGGGAAGCACCTCACTGTTCTAGCTGCTAGAGGACCCTGTTTGTCAACAAAGAGAAGGGACATCTGACCATTTCTGACCTATGACAATCCTTTTCAGAGTTTCCCAGGTAGAGAACATTCACAAATGATTTACCATTCTCCGGGGGGTGGGAGCTAAGGGGAAGCACCTCACTGTTCTAGCTGCTAGAGGACCCTGTTTGTCAACAAAGAGAAGGGACATCTGACCATTTCTGACCTATGACAATCCTTTTCAGAGTTTCCCAGGTAGAGAACATTCACAAATGATTTACCATTCTCCGGGGGGTGGGAGCTAAGGGGAAGCACCTCACTGTTCTAGCTGCTAGAGGACCCTGTTTGTCAACAAAGAGAAGGGACATCTGACCATTTCTGACCTATGACAATCCTTTTCAGAGTTTCCCAGGTAGAGAACATTCACAAATGATTTACCATTCTCCGGGGGGTGGGAGCTAAGGGGAAGCACCTCACTGTTCTAGCTGCTAGAGGACCCTGTTTGTCAACAAAGAGAAGGGACATCTGACCATTTCTGACCTATGACAATCCTTTTCAGAGTTTCCCAGGTAGAGAACATTCACAAATGATTTACCATTCTCCGGGGGGTGGGAGCTAAGGGGAAGCACCTCACTGTTCTAGCTGCTAGAGGACCCTGTTTGTCAACAAAGAGAAGGGACATCTGACCATTTCTGACCTATGACAATCCTTTTCAGAGTTTCCCAGGTAGAGAACATTCACAAATGATTTACCATTCTCCGGGGGGTGGGAGCTAAGGGGAAGCACCTCACTGTTCTAGCTGCTAGAGGACCCTGTTTGTCAACAAAGAGAAGGGACATCTGACCATTTCTGACCTATGACAATCCTTTTCAGAGTTTCCCAGGTAGAGAACATTCACAAATGATTTACCATTCTCCGGGGGGTGGGAGCTAAGGGGAAGCACCTCACTGTTCTAGCTGCTAGAGGACCCTGTTTGTCAACAAAGAGAAGGGACATCTGACCATTTCTGACCTATGACAATCCTTTTCAGAGTTTCCCAGGTAGAGAACATTCACAAATGATTTACCATTCTCCGGGGGGTGGGAGCTAAGGGGAAGCACCTCACTGTTCTAGCTGCTAGAGGACCCTGTTTGTCAACAAAGAGAAGGGACATCTGACCATTTCTGACCTATGACAATCCTTTTCAGAGTTTCCCAGGTAGAGAACATTCACAAATGATTTACCATTCTCCGGGGGGTGGGAGCTAAGGGGAAGCACCTCACTGTTCTAGCTGCTAGAGGACCCTGTTTGTCAACAAAGAGAAGGGACATCTGACCATTTCTGACCTATGACAATCCTTTTCAGAGTTTCCCAGGTAGAGAACATTCACAAATGATTTACCATTCTCCGGGGGGTGGGAGCTAAGGGGAAGCACCTCACTGTTCTAGCTGCTAGAGGACCCTGTTTGTCAACAAAGAGAAGGGACATCTGACCATTTCTGACCTATGACAATCCTTTTCAGAGTTTCCCAGGTAGAGAACATTCACAAATGATTTACCATTCTCCGGGGGGTGGGAGCTAAGGGGAAGCACCTCACTGTTCTAGCTGCTAGAGGACCCTGTTTGTCAACAAAGAGAAGGGACATCTGACCATTTCTGACCTATGACAATCCTTTTCAGAGTTTCCCAGGTAGAGAACATTCACAAATGATTTACCATTCTCCGGGGGGTGGGAGCTAAGGGGAAGCACCTCACTGTTCTAGCTGCTAGAGGACCCTGTTTGTCAACAAAGAGAAGGGACATCTGACCATTTCTGACCTATGACAATCCTTTTCAGAGTTTCCCAGGTAGAGAACATTCACAAATGATTTACCATTCTCCGGGGGGTGGGAGCTAAGGGGAAGCACCTCACTGTTCTAGCTGCTAGAGGACCCTGTTTGTCAACAAAGAGAAGGGACATCTGACCATTTCTGACCTATGACAATCCTTTTCAGAGTTTCCCAGGTAGAGAACATTCACAAATGATTTACCATTCTCCGGGGGGTGGGAGCTAAGGGGAAGCACCTCACTGTTCTAGCTGCTAGAGGACCCTGTTTGTCAACAAAGAGAAGGGACATCTGACCATTTCTGACCTATGACAATCCTTTTCAGAGTTTCCCAGGTAGAGAACATTCACAAATGATTTACCATTCTCCGGGGGGTGGGAGCTAAGGGGAAGCACCTCACTGTTCTAGCTGCTAGAGGACCCTGTTTGTCAACAAAGAGAAGGGACATCTGACCATTTCTGACCTATGACAATCCTTTTCAGAGTTTCCCAGGTAGAGAACATTCACAAATGATTTACCATTCTCCGGGGGGTGGGAGCTAAGGGGAAGCACCTCACTGTTCTAGCTGCTAGAGGACCCTGTTTGTCAACAAAGAGAAGGGACATCTGACCATTTCTGACCTATGACAATCCTTTTCAGAGTTTCCCAGGTAGAGAACATTCACAAATGATTTACCATTCTCCAGGGGGTGGGGGGCATCCTGGGACTGTGCAGCTTGCCCAAGGCCACATAGGCTAGCTTTACTCACAGGTAGAGATGTCTAGAGATAGGGAAGGCCTTGGGGAAAAATGGAAAAACTGGGGGGGGGGAACAGGGTTTTTCCATCCCCCCTCCAAAGCTGTTTTATATGGCTTCAAAATTTCAAGAAATTTGACATCTCTACTTGCTGGAGGCA